TCTATCTATCTATCTATCTATCTATCTATCTATCTATCTATCTATCTCTGTCTTTGTCTATGTGTCCATCCATACTTACACACTATATCCATAGCTGTTGGCTATGAGAGGGGTGGCAAATAAACTTCATCATAAATCAATAAAATAAAAATATGTATGTGTAGTATTATATACAGGCTGCTTTTTTCCTACTTCCATTCCGGGCTTCTCTATTCGGAAAGCAACTTCCATTGTATTTCATTGGGATTGTTGCCTCTGTTAAGTGGGTTAGGATGGGGGTGGGGGTGGGTGTATTATTACAGCCTTATCGTGCTGTCATATTGCAGGATTACTGTCCTTATCCTGATGACAAAAAATTGCAACCTGATCTGTCCAGCCTCTTCCCTAAGAGACACTGTAATCTGTTTTTGTAAGACTTTGCGTCTGCATCTGGAAGACTTTGTCTAGAAGTGCAGGTTCAAACATTAATAACTGCGGTGGTTAACTGAAGGGCAGGGAGGGGACTTGCTACACTCCATTGTGCTGCATCGGTGAGAAGGAATGGGGGGGGGACCCACATAGGGAAGGCAGGATGTAGCAAAGTATGTATTCATTCGTGCAGTAATCTGGTTTGCCCAGGATAAACAAAAAAAAAAATTAACCCAGAAAAGGTTCTGATTCTCCCAACCTATCTTTAAATAGATATCTGCCAGCTGCTGCTCTTTACAGTTGTTCAAGAGCCCTCAAAAGAGTTCATCTTAACTTCATCTTTCCTAGCTTATTTTGCTCTGGCCGAAATAGACAAGCAGCAAAGGACGGTTTCTGTTTTTAACCAAGAGTCGTCACTGGATAAATAGTTTTTGTAGTGGAGATTTGAATGGTTAAGACTGCAGGGACGTATTTTTGTCTTGGGGAGACATATTTTCAACCTGACTTGAAGGAGAACTAAAGGTCTAGACATTATTTTTGTAACTCTGGGTGTGTAAAAGAGAAGCACAAGTTAGCAGAATGTCTTTAAGAGCTTTCCTCTTTATGTAATGAAAAGGGGTTTTGATAGATGCAGGTTGAACAGATTTGCAGTTTGTTCTTTTTGTTTTTCAGAAGAAACTGAAAATGTTAAGGCAGTGCTTTTTTCCTGAATGTATATTATTGGTTATTAGCTATCCAATTCTGGATAGCTGCAATTTCATTGCCCTCTTCTAGTATCCTATGGCTATTGTTTTTCTCACTAAAATGGGTTGTTCCTTCCTATTTTGATATGCGAAAATATCGATTTAGTTATTCTGGGGGGAAAAAGCTCTGGAAACACAACTTGGCATAAGATACCTAGTATGGATTATGTGACAAATTAGCATAAGATACCTGGTATGTATTATGTGGCAGTGTACAAAGGTGGTGGGATCACAGTTGAAGGTAATAAACGATTTTCTTCAGATAAGAATGTTTCCGGATGTGTTTAAATGTGTTTGAACTGCCTGGTGTATTTGGTTAGTGGATAGACGTTTAATAAAAATCGAAAGTGGCATAGGTTTTTTTAGTCCTAATGGCTGCAAAGGGGATTTTTCAGTCATCTTCCTTCTATGACAGATGGCATAGAAAAAAACTGCCTTGAACCATTTCTTTTAGATTTAGCTATTGTGAAGTGAAATGAAAAAACAATATGTGATACAGCTGGAGAACATCCACGTTTATTGGCATAAAGTTAATCTAATGACTCAATTACTGCCATAATAGCTACACCATTGGAAGACCTGAAGGACCAAGTTGGGGACAGATTCTCCTGGAGAAAATCCATCTCTTGTCCTCGCTAAGAGCCAATCCCGACCCAATGGCACATAATCAGTTTTTAAAAATACAACCTACGCAAATGGCGAATTGTAATAGAATTGTTTCTAAATGCAATAATCAAGAAACCTATTTGTGAACAGGACAGCCGTCTTCTGTAATCAGAACAAGTTTTATTCTTTTAAACAGTTTGAATCACTATTTCATCATTGAGATTAAAAAATAGTTTTATATTACTACAATTGAACCTTTCATCAGCTGAAAGCATAGTCTTAGGTGACAGGGCCCAAGTCCCTGTTTAGCCATAGGAAAGGTATGGCAGGATTTTCTCTGCTTCAGTAGCTGGAAAATAGGGCTGTGCATATAGAGTTCTCCACTCCTCTACTCGTTGCAGAATACCTTATGCCACCAGACTCGAAATTCTAAACCTAGAAAACCTACAACTACACCGCCATCGGTCTGATCTAAGTATAGTATATAAAATCGTACATTGTAATGTCCTACCTGTCAATGAATACTTCAGCTTCAACCATAACAATACAAGAGCACACAATAGATACAAACTCAAGGTAAACCGCACCAAACTCGATTGCAGGAAATACGACTTCAGCAACAGAGGGGTCAATGTCTGGAATACTCTACCTGACTCTGTGGGTTTCTTCCCCAAACCCCAAAAACTTTAACCTTAGACTGTCTACTGTTGACCTCACCCCTTTCCTAAGAGGTCTGTGGGGGCGTGCATAAGCGCACCAACGTGCCTACCGTCCCTGTCCTATTGTTTCTTTTATATATTTTTTATTTTTCTGATGTGTATCCCTGTATTCATAACTATGTTTTTACTTATACCTATTATCTTGTAAGCAATTGACAAAAATAAATAAATATAAATAAAAAAATAAAATAAATATCTCCCAAAAGAAGTGCTCTGCAATGCATGAACCATCTCTTTTCACAGAGTTGCGGCTTCAGAATTGCTGCTAGCTATCTTCTGCATGTGTATAGGCATTTTATTTCTTTTTTTTTTTCTTTGCAGCAAAAGAAGTTGACTGGGCAGTTGAAAATGATTTGCATAGCCCTATAAGTTAATTATCAATGCACATCTAATGAGTCTGAGAATAGCATTTTACATTAAAGTGCCAGAATAAGTATTTAAGTAAAATATAGGCGATTCAGCATGCTAGTAAATCCAAAATGGTTTCTTTGTTCTTCATTAAACAATTTTAAAATGACTTTGAATTGTTCTATTTTAAAGTATGAGTTCACAGGCTGTTTCATGATATTTAAGGTACAAAAATACAGTACTCTGTAATGAAAGTAACAATATTTTATATCCCTCTCACAGAATGTTAAACAATACAGTTTATTAACTTTGGGAGCACTTGTACACATAAATATCTCTTTTCCACTCCTTGTAATATTTTCAATAGGATAGAGAGAGCAATGAATATGTCACTTTTACTCCTCCAGAAATGAACTTCAGTACAATACGTGAAATATGTTGGCAATTGCTGTGAAAGCAAATATTGAGTTTTTTAAATGGAAGAAGGGTAATACTGAAAATTATTGTTGCATAAGTTCAATACCATCACAAATGAAACCTAATAGCCTACAATACTTACAGCATGGAGCCTGAAGGCTTGATTTACATATCTATTTACATAAATTGTCAATTTGTATTCATGCCAATAAATCTATAGACTAATCAAACTATAAATAAGTAGAAATGCATGGTTCCATATTTTCTACTTTTTTCATCCTTAATTCTTCATCTTCAATTTACCACTAGATTCTGGGATTGGTTACTTAAATATAACATTCATTCCCCCCTGTGAAACTTAACTTTGAGATAACTCTCCCAATTATGTTTTATATTTTCAGTGGTCATTACCATCGAATTTAACTTTGTTGACAATGTCAAAAGCTAAATCTGCAGAGTAAGAGGGTTACTTGACCTGTTCTTTTATTCCCTCTGTGTTTAAACATAAGGAAACTGTAGCTTTCTGTGATGCTTAACTTTATGGCAAACTTCCTCTGTTGTGACATGGGCAATTACACAAGTTAAATATTAAATATTTTTCTAGATTTTTTGAAAAAGTAAAATGTCATTGTCATCTTTTGTGCAGGTACATCTGAACCTTCTTTTCTTGCTAAAAGTGAAGACCATTTATTTAAATATTTATTTGAAGACTATGAACGATGGGTTCGTCCAGTCGAGCACTTCAATGATACCATCAAAGTGAAATTTGGTCTTGCAATTTCCCAGTTGGTGGATGTGGTATGTTAGGAAACTGATACATTTTAAAATTCAAACGACCTGAAGACATACAGCATGTTGCCTGGTTTGTAGAATTTCTGCCATATTTCTGAAATATAATTTGGCCTTAATAATTATAAGTATACTTTGTACTCAAGATATAGGAGAAATTACTTGCAAGTAATAATAGTAGTATGATTCCAGGGTAGGTGGAGACTGAAATTTCTCTCTGACCCTAAATAACCGCTTTGTTTAATCAGAGGACACATTAAGTGAAAGTGTGATAGACTACCAATATGTTCTACAACATCAGGTGAATTTAAAAAAAACAAAAAACCTTGAACCTCTAAGTCTGCAAGACACAAAAAAGAGTCTGTCTTTTCTTTTAACTAACATAAAAAGTTTCTCTGCTATTCCTACTAGCAATAGCAATGATAACATTTTTGGTGCTCTGGGTATTTGGTGCCTTACAGCCATTGGATTGTTCCACTATTGTTGGGCAGCAGTCGTCCTAGTGGGGAGGAGATCTCAAGTGGGAAATTAGGCGGGACCCTAAATAAGCACGATAGGGCAAGGTATGACACCTCCTCCCTCCCAGTGCCTTTGAGCCTTATCTAGTCTTTCACAGGCAAAAGCTGTCAGTTTGGGGAGATTCTGTGAAATAGGCATAGAACAGTAAAGTAGCCTGTTTGAATCCTAAAGTAACCTGTTTGAACCCTGGGTCTGGTTGTTCATGCCTGACAGTTATTAGGGGAATGAAATTCAAGTGTCAGCTGTTTCATTACGTCTTCAAGGGGCACATTGGAAAGCATCTATTTAGGAGGGGGAAGCTGCCAGAAGACTTGCCAAGATCCAGTTCAGATGCTGAAGCACTGTCTGGCTCTCACTTTCTAAAACCTTTGATTGTATCTAGTATACTTTTCCTCCAATAGGATGAAAAAAATCAGTTGATGACCACAAATGTTTGGCTGAAGCAGGTGAGTCCTGGTTGAAAAATCTTTTGAGTGGCACTCTTCATAATATTGGGGGATTGATGCTTCATGCCTTTGGGTTGCATCTCCATGGAAGATACAGAGAAAAGAGAGAGATCAGGATTCTCTATCGATCCTAAATGATTTACAGTAAATTGGCAAGGGATTCGAAGTAGCGAGATAGTTTTCCAGAAATATTAGAATCAGAAAACATTCCTGTGCAAGTGAACATGAGTCCAGTCAGTTTATCAAAAGTAAGAAGCAAAAAATACAAACAAATATGTTTTGAAGCAAGGTAGCAACTTTAATAGTAACATAGTAAAAACATTTCAGTTGTTGCTTTCTGGCTGTTTCAAGTTCAAGATAAAATTGAAGAAAAGTCTGTATTCCTTTGCAGGAATGGGTTGATGCCAAGCTGAAGTGGGATCCCAAGGACTATGCAGGAATAACGTCTATCCGTGTCCCTTCAGCTTCACTATGGATTCCAGACATTGTCCTATATGACAAGTAAGCGTTTCAGTTTTTAACTTATATTAAAAGGCCATATAGACTTGAAGAGAATGTGGAAAAAAAACAGGCTGAAAAGGCCTGGACAGGTAGTGAAATAAAAGGGTTTGGGGCCCCCTTCAATCTCCCAATTTCCCAAACAAGAAGACCCACATGATCGCAGAGAGTTCTTACCCAGAAGGAATTAAGAACCAGGAGCATTCATTCCCCCTTAATATCATATCTTCACTCGTAGACTACTTGTCTTTCTGGAAAAAATGAACAAGAAGGAGCAGAAAAGATGCCGTGCACATTCCCCAGAGATTGCATTCAGAGCAGTGGTAGAAGATAATTGGGTCCTCATTTGAGGATCTCATCTTGTTAAGAAGTGCAGCGCCTCATTAAGTTATACTCTGTTTTATTTTTTACTTGTTAGAGAAGAAAGTTTTTATAGAAGGGTGGACATGTCTGCAAAAAAAATTCCAGCTATTTTCTAGGAGCATCATGTAGCCATCATTCAAAATCCTGATTTTACTCATTCATTAGCTCCTTATCCCTTTGTTCAAAATTGAATTCATAATTTGAATTGCAGATGGACCACGCCCTTCAGGTGACATCTAACTCTTTTTTTTTTTTTTGTCTGTAAAGGATTATACAATTTCAAAATAATTTTACGCTGGAAAAAGTTCATAACACTTAGCTTTTTGTGGAAAAACCATACCTTGCACCTTTCGTAACCCTTTGCCGATATTCTTTCAGTGCAGATGGTCATTTTGAAGGAACATCTACAAAGGCCATAGTGAAGCACGATGGCACTGTTGTTTGGACCCCACCTGCGAACTATAAAAGCTCTTGCACCATTGACGTCACTTATTTTCCATTTGACCTCCAGAACTGCTCCATGAAGTTTGGCTCGTGGACATACGATGGTTCTGAGGTGGATATAATCCTTGTGGATGAAGAAGTAGACAAAAGAGATTTCTTTGATAATGGAGAATGGGAAATAGTAACGGCAACAGGTATCAGAAGGAACAGAACTGATGGAAGCTGCTGGTACCCCTTTATTACCTACTCATTTATCATTAGGCGCTTGCCTCTCTTTTATACACTCTTCCTCATTATTCCATGCATCGGGCTGTCTTTCTTAACCATCCTTGTCTTCTATCTTCCCGCCTACGAAGGCGAGAAAATCTGTCTCTGCACTTCTGTTCTGGTCTCGCTCACCGTCTTCCTTCTAGTCATAGAAGAAATTATTCCCTCTTCTTCTAAAGTCATACCTCTGATTGGCGAGTACTTGGTCTTCACCATGATTTTTGTGACGTTATCTATAGTCATCACTGTCTTTGCTATTAACGTTCATCACCGATCCTTGTCGACGCACAACGTGATGGCGCCCTGGGTCCGCAAAATATTTCTTCACAAGCTCCCCAAGCTGCTCTGTATGAGAAGTCACGTCGATAGGTACTCGGTACCAAAGGAAGAAGAGACCACGGGCACGCAGGGATCCAAGGAATCTAGGAATACTTTGGAAGCAGCCTTAAATTCCGTCCGGTACATTATAAGACACATTGTGAAAGAGAATGAAGTTCATGAGGTGTGTGTTCTGGTCGTGTTGCACTCAATGGCTGAGTTGAACATAATATACAAGGTTAGGCAGTAGAACCTTTATCTGGAGCCCTTGGTGCTTTATGAGCTTGGTTGTTTGCTTGCGGACATTTCATTACCCAACTAGATAGCATCATCAGTGCTCTGACGATGTTAACAGTGATGATCTCATATTGATGATATAACCTAGTTGGCCCATGAAATGTCTGCAAGAAAACAACCAAACTCTCAGAGCATCAAAGACTCCATAGTTCAACCCCCAAGCTACAGGAAGAAAGAGCCTTAATTATTTGGTTGATTTCAGATGCTGTACTGTTTTTTTAATGTCTTTGAGAGAAAGGGAAGTCTTAGTTGTGTTGATGGAAACAATCCCTTCAGTAGCAACCTAGCAATATCTAAACCATTGAATAGTTTTTGTCATATCTTACTATCGTTTGAGTGATGGGTATCATATGAAGAACTTGATCTCTTGTTTTGGATCAAGATAGTGAAAATTTTGGATCAATAGCATGCTAAAAAATAGAGAATCGTTTTCTATCTCCTACAGTGACTCATGTTTGTCTGTGACCCACTTTTTCCCTAGTTTGTATAAAAAGTATGATTCAAGCCTTAACAAGCACACATATTTTTAAATAGACTGGGAATTTTTAATTCCGTGATAAAATTCCATTTCAGTAATTATTACTATTCAGTTTAATAAGTAAAATCTACAATGGGGAATACCTATTATAACAATGGTTTATTTAGTTCCAGTTTGTATCCTTTCTATTTATTATGCTGTGGCTTTTGTGTATATACACTGACTGCTTTGTTGTTTTCTAGGGACTAAACTTAGAACCAAATGCTTAAGGAAAGTTACTGACTTTTTTTTCCCCTTCTTTTTTTTAGGTTGTGGATGACTGGAAATTTATAGCTCAGGTGCTTGACCGTGTGTTCCTGTGGCTGTTCTTTCTGGTTGCAGTTACTGGATCCCTGACCCTATTTCTTCCTGTAATTCATAAATGGGCAAGCAAAATAGTACCAGTCCATGCTGGGATGGTTAATAAATAAGTTAATACATAATAAATAAGATTGTTAATAACTAAGTGTGTGAGCAGGGGCAGAGTTCTAACAGTGTTTCTAGGGAATACTGATTCCTATATATAAGTACTTTCAAAACTAAATGAAATGTCTGAGAATGCAATTGGGAGGGGGAAAAATTAACCAGGAAAATTGTAAGATAGATTTTCCTCCCCCTTAATTATAGCCTACGTGGATGCCATCAGCATTCTAAGATTGTTTGCAGATTATTATAGCAAAAAGTATTAACACATTACTTTAACATTTAAGGTGTCTAGGATGCCCATCACAGAAACTGCTGCAGCCGTGGATGAGAAGTTTTGTCAAGGGTCAGGGCAAGGGTCAGATGCCCAGGCAGTTGGTTCTTCTGGGTCCAGAGACAATGAGCACACCAACCAAAAAAAGAGATTTTTTTAAAGTTTTATTATTAAGCAAACAAATTTTAAAACGTAACATAAAAAGCACACCTACCAAGCAAGGTGATACCGAAATCTCTTGCAAGCTGTCAGGACCTCCTTAATAACGGTAGCACAGATGCCCCACAGGGCCCGTGCCAGGTTCTCCGTAGAAGCTCTCAACTTAAAAGACAGTACTAGGGTTTTTATTAAAAGTTGGCACCATGACTTCATGGCTCTGTTTCTGTAGTCACAAGGCTGCAAGAGCTGACTTTGGCTAGGTGGCACATCACTCAAAACTCTTGAGATTTTCACAGATTAAAAAAAAGAAAAAAAGCTTTGTACCATGAAGATTCAACAGCCCCCTTTTGCCTTTATGCAATAAACAAAAGGTGTTTTTTTAAGCACATTAGCTCAGAATGAGCTCTGAACTTTTAGACCAGGGATGTCCAACTTTGGCAACTTTAAGACTGAACTTCAATTTCTGGCATTCCCCATCCAGCTGGCTGGACTTCTGGGAGTTGAATTCCATGGGGTCTTAAATTTGCCAAGCTTGGACACCCCTTAGACTTTTCTTAATGTGAAGGAATCTCTTATTGAATTTCTTACACCTTACAAAATTGACCACAAATCTCCATCTTATGTGTAAAATATTACTATGTGTTCTTTCCATACATCTTTACGGCTGGTGTCCATGTATTTTATGCCGTACGCTAAACAAGTGTGAAGGAGAAATCAAAATATGCCGCTAAACTCCTCAAAGTACAACGGTCTTGTGCATGGCCACTACCAAGGAATACAGAACGTTTTAGATTTTTTTAGTCTGTTCATGTGACATGTAAGTAATCCTTGTAGCAGGTGAGGGCTCTGTCTCTCACTCTTATGATTCCCAGGCTGTCTCTCAGAATTAAGCTCCATTTGCCAAGGAACCGGATGGAGTGGGAAGGGTGAAAAGTATAAGGCAGCACAGAAAGTAATAAAATATGCAAGTACACCATGGAGTGTTTTGGACTTCCTAATGCAATTTCCCTTCTAAATAATCCCAATTTCTATTGTGCTGTGATAACACAATAACAGCGAGGACAATTAACCAGTGGAACAACTTGCCACCAGAAGTTGTGGGTGCTTCATCACTGGAGGTTTTTAAGAAGAGACTGGACAATCTCTTGCCTGAAATGTATAGGGCCTCCTGCTTGAGCAGAGGGCTGGACTAGAAGACCTCCAAGGCACCTCCCAGCTGATTCTAACCAAAGAATCTGAAGTCTGCTAGGAATTTCTGAGATTGTAAGAAAGTAAAGACACCTTCCAATCCGTCTCAACTCTCACGCAGTTTTCTTCGGAGCCTTAGAGGAGCAATTCATTATTCTTTTCTTAGAAGATTTTGTTTGACTTCACAGTCTAATCCACTTGCTGAAAAAGATAGGCTGATTATAGAAGTTGCATATGAAGTATCTGGGGCATGCTCCTTTATGCATTTTTCATTAGGCACGAATGCCCTCCATGTTCTGTGAAGAAAATTTGTGCTATATAAGTAGCCCTCAAATTAGAATCCACAGTCAAATCATGGAATGAAAAATATGCTACAGCAAAGGTAGAATCCGTAGAGATGATTTTAATATTATCTAAACACACTTTTAGAGAGATTTATTTTTATTTATTTATTTATTTATTTGATTTGTCAATTGTTTACAAGATAACAAGTATAAGTGTATACATAGTTGTGAATACATGAAATGGGTACATATAAGAAAAATAAAAGAAGAATAAGAGAAACAATAGGACAGGGACGGTAGGCACGTTGGTGCGCTTATGCACGCCCCCTACAGACCTCTTAGGAAAGGGGTGAGGTCAATAGTAGACAGTCTAAGGTTAAAGTTTTTGGGGTTTGGGGAAGAAACTACAGAGTCGGGTAGAGTGGTAGACAGTTGGAAACCTTTTGGGTCAATTACACAATAGTGCAGAAATGGATGTTTACGATGATATGAGCTGGGGTACTTCATCATTCTTAGTTGTATTTTGTGTATAGCTGGGAATTTTTTTTAAAAAAAAATTTAAATCAGATTTTTAGATTTTAGAAGTATATACTGAATGCGCTTTAAGGTTGATAATTATAGACAACAAATTAAACTTTGCATTTGATACTTGCTGTTTATTATTTAGTTTGTAAATCTGAGGGGAATTTTTAAATTATATAATGTATTTCATTAGAAAGCCATCATTTGGAAAGTGGGTTAATTAAAGATTTCTTAATATTTATCTGCATTGCTTAGGGGGGTTTGTGTCTTCCTCTCAGCCTTTTCAATATAAGTAGTCAAGATTTGTTGGCTTTAGTGGAAAAATCATTCCTGGTCTTTTCATTTGATTTAGCTTCCTTGAGACTGGAAGCTGAAAACCAACGCTTACTGTCATTTTATTTTCGTTTGTCTGCTGCAATATCCCATGTTAATATACAATTCTCCAAATCCTTATAAATATTCCCTTTTCCTTCTAATTTACTTCTCAAAGATTTATTTGAAACCCTTGGCCAAATCCCTCAGTTTGACTTGGTAATGTAAAATGGACAGGCATATTGATAAAAGAGAATATTTATAGTTCAGGATTGAAATGTGGGGTCAGGGCTGGCATATAGTAATCCAATATATTTTATATACTAGTGGCTTGCCCTGTCAGTGTTGGTGGGAGCAGTCTTGATAGTTCCTTAATTAGGCTGTTGTTTTTTATGAGTTAACTACCCAACTAAAATGAGAGCAAACTCCACTCCCTTTTAACATGGATGATGTTACCTTGTTTGGTAATGAAACGTCTGCAAGAAAACAACCCAGCTCAGGAAGCCCCAAGGACCCTATGGATGTACATATGCTTCCTCTGGTTTCTTCTGTTTCTCTCCCACACAAAGAGAGACTTTTTTCTGCTTTATCTCCATTTTAAAAAATAAACTCGTGAATTTCTGGGTGAGCAAGGGAATCTATGGTTGGTTGCAGCTAACCATTGTTAAGAAATGGCCTTTTCAAATGCAGCTTCTTAGAATCTGCATACGTTCCTTTTATTGTTCTTGGCATAGCTGCTTGGCAGTTTGGTTTGCAAGTCTTGAAAGGCCACTTCAAGAGAAAATTTTAAATTTGTGCAAATGCTTTTGTAAAACAAAGATGATCTGTGGTGAGCAACCTTGGAGTTCGGCTTGTACTAGTCCAGTTATGCCTCAGATTCCAGTCATGCTAAATATTTCCAGCTTAGGCACTCAAGAAACTGATAGGTCTGTAGTTAGCTGGATCTGCTTGGTTTTCTCCCTTACATATTGGTACTGCTGCTGTCATCCCCTAGTCCTTATAATATATTTGTTATCTGATTTTCATATTTGCCTCATTAAAATTGCAGGGAACTGCATTTCTGTATGAATGAGATGGTCTTGACTCTCCTTGTCCAAACTTCTGCAGAATAAATTAATGCTATTTTAAGGCTTAATCTGACAACCATAAAAATTCTCTCCCACTCTCAAAAAAAGGAAAAACCTAGACAAAAAAATCCTTCAGTCTTATACAATACCTCAAAATAATACATCAGTTGTTTTCTTTATCTTCTTCGGTATCTTTATTTTGGTACTCAAAGAAGTAGAAATAAGTAATTCAACATCAGCGTAATGTGTTTAGACACCAAGAAGGAAAAAAAGTCGTTTTTTGCAGTGTCACCTTGTTTAAACTTCATCTCTGATCAGCAGTGGTTGCAGGAACAATCCTGCTGTCCCCAAAATACACACGAGAGTAAATACCCACAGGAAAATACGATCAATTACCATGGCAACGTATTTCCAGTCATCTTGAGTCTGGAAGAAATAAGCAGAAAATTACATCAATTTTTGAATAATCTATTTTGTGGGCCTACTATGTATATTTCAAAGTCATTGGTACACTTGTCTTTATAGAGAGTACAATAAATAGTTTCAAAACTAATACTTGTGGGGGTAGGGAGGAAAACTTAAGTGAAAAATAAACAAGTTTTTGTCTCCTGACTTTCTTCCTTGCTTAATTTTGGTTATCTTTGTAAGCCTGAAGGTGCACTTGTTAAATATGGGAAGGTGAACTATTCCATGGAAATTGAACAGCGTTGAAATTACAGATGAGCTTGTAAATGTGGAAAAGAGTTCGCAAAAATATTCTTCTTTGGTTCCAAATAAATATTCAGATCACCGTAAACTAACTTGATCTCTTTTTCACAAGGTTTGGTGAATAGATGACTCCCCTATTTCCCCTTGTAAAAAAATAATCTGCCTTTCCTATTGTTTAAAAAAATGTGTATTTTTTATATTGGTTTCTGTGTGTTAAGCACTGTGACCTTTCCATCTTGCAAATCACAAATGCTCATCTTTATTGCCTTTAGAAGATCTAACAAGTTCTTGGATGCTTCCACAGGCACCTGGTAGAAAGTAGACATAGCACAAGACCTTGGTCAATCTGAGCAGATGTTACTTCGGTCTGGTCGGAAAATGACCAAAATGTGGATGTTGCAGAGCTATTAATTGACACCAAAGTTGTCCAATCTTGGCCACTTTAAGACTTGTGGACTTCAACTCCCAGAATTCCTCAGCCAGCTTGGCTAAGGAATTCTGGGAGAAGTCCAAAGGTCTTAAAGTGGCCACGGTTGGACACCCCTGGTTTACAGTATCGCCTTGCCAGCATGAGGCCACATCAAGTATGTTGTGTAACGTGGAAATTAAAATATATCCATACCTCCTTGGCTTTATTCTGCAGTTTCATGTTTTCGGCGATGTATTTGACACTGTCCATCACATCTCTCATTTCTGGCGATATAAATGAAGATGGAAACAACGCTTCCATGGACTCAGAACTGGAGCTCTGCATCAAGTTGCCAGGGGCAGCCTTCGAGTATGTTTTGTGTTCGTGCAGGCAACACGCATGTGTAAACCCTTGGCATGAGAAGCAGTCTTGACTGCTGTCAGGCATATGGATGAAGTTCAAAGGCGTCAGCTCTGCATGGGAAGAAGGCTTCGCTTTCTCGGGTCTGCCCTCATCTTTGTTGCTGTGGGGCTGTGCCATGAACATGATGCGGGGGAGAAATTTGAGGAAAACCACCTTCACCCACTCCGGCATGGTGTGTGTCCTGGGAGTTCTGTAGTGGACGTTGAGTACAAAGACAGTGATGGCGATGGAAAGAGTGACAAACAACATGGTGAAGAGGAGGTACTCTCCAATCAACGGAATCACCAGTGACGTGGACGGAATGGTCTCCGTTATGACCAGGAGGAAAACGGTCAAGGATAAGAGGACCGATATGCATAGAGTTATTTTCTCGCCGCAGTCCGATGGAAGGTAGAACACCAGCACAGTCAAGAAGGAAATCAGAATGCACGGAATGATCATGTTGATGGTATAAAACAAGGGCAGACGCCTCATGTACAAAGAGTAGGTGATAGATGGGTACTCGGCATCACAGCAGTTGTAGTCGATGACTTGATAACGCCCGGGGGCTTTGATAATGGCCCACTCTCCACTTTCCCAGTAATCCCTGAGGTTCATGGTGGAACTAACGAGCACTAAGTCGATATGAGTTTTATCGTGGGTCCAAGAGCCAAACTTCAAGGTGCAGTTCTGGTAGTCAAAGGGGAAGTAGGTCACGTCTATTTTACACGAGCTCTTAAATATGGCCGGAGGCATCCATGTGACGTTTCCAGTGTAATTGAGCACGGCTTTCGTTTTGTCATCCACCTGGAAGTCTCCAATCGCACTGTCAAAGACATTTTGAGATAACGGGTTGGGTATAGAATAGGTTCTGGCAGTTGGAATCGGTTATCAAAGTGACTGAGCAACTTATCCTGGGAAACCGTAGATGGGGAAGAAGAATCCTCAACAATAGCTCATAGGCTCTGTTCCCGTGCCATGCAAGCAACACTCAATGATGGGCACGTCTCCAGGGAGTCTCAGTCACCCATGTCATGGTGACCCTCCCATGCTACCACCTCTTAAAATACTAGACAACAGTAGAGACCTTCAAATTTCTAGGTTCTACTATATCACATGACCTAAAATGGACACCTAACATCAAAAACATCATCAAAAAAGCCGAACAAAGAATGTTCTTTCGGCTCCAACTCAAGGAAGCTCAAACTGCCCAAGGAGCTGCTGATCCAGTTCTACAGAGGAATGATTGAGTCTATCTGCACCTCTATAACTGTCTGGTTTGGTTCTGCAACCCAACAGGACAGACACAGACTCCAGAGGATAATTAGGACTGTAGAAAAAACAATTATTACCCACCTGCCTTCAATCGAGGACCTGTATACTGCACGAGTCAGAAAGAGGGCTGTGAAAATATCTACAGTCCCCTCACATTCTGGACATAAACTGTTTCAACTCCCACCCCCAAAACGACGCTATAGAGCCCTGCACACCAGAACAACTAGACACAAGAATAGTTTTTTCCCGAAAGCCATCACTCTGCTAAACAAATAATTCCCTCAACACTGTTCAACTATTTACAAAGTGTACACTACTATTACTGTTAATCTTCTCATCACTCCTTATCACCCATCCCCTCCCACTTGTGGTTGTAGGACTGTAATTTTGTTGCTTGCATCCTTACGATTTATATTGACTGTTTCCTAGTATGATTTGATTGTTGATTGTACCCTATGACTATCATTAAGTGTTGTACGTTATGATTCTTGATTCTTAACAAATGTACCTTTTCTTTATGTACACTGAGAGTATTTACACCAAGACAAATTCCTTGTGTGTCCAATCACACTTTGCCAATAAAGTATTCTACATTATACATTCTACATGGCTGTCCCAAAGGTGCATTTCGACTTTGTTTTTCCTTGAAGACGTTTCGCTTCTCATCCAAGAAGCTTCTTCGGTTCTGACAGCACTTTTGGGTCAATACTGGGCAGCACAGAACAGGGCTCTCAAAAGTTGGTTGGCTGCAGCAGTCATGCTTATCACTCCCTATTTGGTGATTGGGAACATGCTACTCATATAATTAAGTCATGTCTTCCCACCCACCCACCCACCCCACACACAAAACACTCATGAAATAGCAGTTATTTCTTGGAAAATAATTCACGAAGACTTCCCCAAATAGTGAGATTTGATGAAGTACTGTGGCGTATTTTCCTTGGGAATTTTTGCAATAATCTCTCTGGGATAGTAACTAATTAGGGCTAGGTACGTTACAGGAAGAAAATTTAAGAAGAGATCTAATTCCGTAATCTTACTTGTTATATAACATGATATCGGGCTTCCAGATCCTATTTGATGGCACTCGGACATATTGCACGCCACCATACTTCTCTGGATCCCACCTGAGTTTGTAATCATTCCAAATCTGGTCAAAGAAAAACATTGAGATATTTCAGGTGGACCTGTTTCATCCAAAGGCTAACCCTTAAGAGAGAAGAGTCTTTTACAGCACCTTAAAAAACAAGCAAGCATCATACAGGTAGTTTTTGGACTTACGACCATTCATTTAACAATGGTTTGAAGTCACAACTTGACCTGGAAAAACTGCCTTACAACCTATCCTCAAAGTTAACAATGGTTCACTAATCCCAACACTCACATGATTATAATTCAGGTACTTGATAACCAAAGACATGGCTGGCTGGGGAATTCTGGAAATCCACATGTCTGCAAAGGGTTGAGAAACATTGAGCTAGCTAGACACATTTCAAGAAGTGTGGACTTCAACTCCCAGAATTCCCCAGCCCCAGTTTATGACTCTAAAAGCTGAGCTGGCAAAAAGCCAGGCAGTAGACTTTTTTTAAAAACATAATTTTCCCCAGGCTAATGGCAGATAGTGTGTTTGTTGCTTTTTACAGGCATTTCTGCAAGTTGCTGCAGAGAAAAAGTGGGCCAACCACACTGGGATTTGCTCCTTGCAAATGATATCCACCCCCTGTCCTGGATACCTCTTCAGACTGCAGCGTTCATCTGTTTCCGAAAAAGAAAAAAAGCTTGCAACAATGCATTAAGCAGTTCAGGAAGAGAATCGGTACAACTACAATAGGGACCAGGTGGGCCTTTGAAAGAAGTGCATCCAATTGTGAACACCTCTCTTTTTCTCTCTCTCTACCTTTTAGTCTTTCTGAGAGGCCTGAAGAAGCATGTTTGATAGAGAGAGGTCTCTTGAACCCCAAACAACTCTTCTGCAACTTTCCTTTTCTACTGCCTGCTGAAAAACCAAGACCAACTCAACCTTCCAAGCAAAGGTGAGTGTGTTGTGATTTTTCTCTCCAAAAAAATGTAATGCAAGCAGCCTCTTGTCTTACCAAAGACAAAGGAGAACCTCACTTTAGAGCAGGGATGTCCAAACTTGGCAACTTTAAGATTTCAAATCCCAAAATTCTCCAGCCTGCTAGGGAATTCTGGAAATTGAAGTCCACAATTCTTAAAAGTTTCTAGGGGGTGTGTAAACTTGGCAAATTTAAGACCTGCAGACTTCAACGCCCAGAATTCCCCAGCCAGCCAGGTCATAAAATCGGGTGTGTGACATGTCTCACTTAATGACTTATGACTGCTTAATGACAAATTTTCTGCCCCCTATTGTAGTCCTAAAACTAAGTGGAGGACTACTCTGTAGTTGTTAAATACAAAAAAAAAAAATCAATCTTGACCACTAGATGTCAGCAGTGTATTAAAAGCATGTTTTCTGAACTCTTGAATTTTCATTCCCAAACCATCAATTTCAGGTAAATAACTCTTATTTTTTTATTTTAAAAATAAAAATATGCGTATCTGAATAAGTGATTGTGTGTTGTCAAAAAAAAAAACCAGTTAAGAATCCTAAGTCTTGAAAAGTTGAAATGTCTTTCTAACACCACATTTCACTTTCTTCTTCTCCCCCATATTCTTTTTAAACAAAATCTTTTGTTGTTGTTGTTGACTTACATGCTTCAGCCATAAATTAGTCTCCATAATCTGATTCACTTCATCCTGAGCAGGGGGGAAAAAAACAGGAACTGTATTTAAAACCTGAATTTAATAAAGCTCAGCTGAGCATCTGATCTGTTATCTGTTAAACTGTTATCTGTCATCTGTTATCGATTAAACTGGGGGGGGGGGGGATGAAAAAAAAAATACTGAGGATGCTCAACCAGATAAGAGATTTGAGATAAATAAAAAGAGAAGGTTCTCCAGTTACTCACCACTTTGATCAGCTGAGATAAAGACACTTCAAACCAAACCATGACTGGGTCAGACACGTTTTCAACAGGCCGGATGATTTTGTTATAACTGGCAAACAATTCCTTATAAAGCCGATGTTCGTCATCGAAACAAAACATACCTGGAAAAAATATACTATAATTTTCCCTTGTATGGATCTGAGCACTAAGCCTGCTGAGAACTGGAATTGACCACTAAGGCCAGCTAGTGAATTCTGCTGTTAAAGCCTTAGTAAGGCCACACCTAGAGTCCTGCATCCAGTTTTGGTCACCACACTATAAAAAAGGATGTTGAGACTCTAGAAAGAGTGCAGAGAAGAGCAACCAGGAGGATGAGGGGACTGGAGGCTAAAACATTTGATGAACGGTTGCAGGAACTGGGCATGAAGGATCAGGGGAGACAGGATAGCAGTCTTCCAATATTTGAGGGGCTGCCCCAGAGAGGAGGAGGGGGTCAAGCTGTTTTCCAAGGCACCCGAAGGCCAGACAAGGAATAATGGATGGAAACTGAACAAGGAGAGATTCAACCTGGAAATAAGGAGAAATGTTCTGACAGTGAGAGCAATCAACCCATAGAGCCTTCGGAAGTTGTGGGAGCTTCATCCCTGGAGGCTTTCAAGAAGAGACTGGACGGCCATCTGTTAGAAATGGTGTAGGGTTTCCTGCTTAGGTGTGGGGTTGGACTGGATGACCTAAAAGGTCCCTTCCATCTCTGTTAATCTGTTTAATCTTTGTTGCTGTCTGAAAAGCAATTCTGTAGATTTTGGTCTTGTTTCTACACCACCTAGGAACCATACCTGGTGTGTATGATGAGGGGTTTGAAAATACAGTACGGTACTTACAACAGTTCATTTAGTGACCGTTTCAAGTTACAATGGCACTGGAAGAAGTGATTTATGACCATTTTTCACACTTATGAACATTGCATCATCCCCATGGTCACGTGATCAAAATTCGGCCATTTGGCAACTGACTCATAATTACGACGGTTGCAGTGTCCTGGGGTCATGTGATCCCCTTTTGCGACCTTCCCACAAGCAAAGGTCACTAGGGGAAGCCAGATTCACTTAACGACCGCATGACTAACTTCACTACCGCGGCGATTCCCTTAACGACTGTGGCAAGAAAGGTCGTAAAATGGGGCAAAACTCGCTTAACCAATGTCTCGCTTAGCAACAGAAATTTGGGGCTGGGTTATGGTCGTAAGTCAAGGACTAGCTACATGTCGCCTTTTAAAGCCAGTGGCCCGGATTTTGGGTCATCCCTGGACTGTCCTGTGCATACAAGCAATTATTTTTGTCTTCTGCTATGCAGAAAAATCTGAATCAATTTGCCATCCCAGCTCTTGCTTGGGGTTCCCTAAAACCATCTCCATCCCCATTACCAAAATATATCAGAGAGCAGATTGAGATCTAAAACAATAGTTGAGAGGTTTGTTTGGGTTTTTTTTTAGTTATAAAAACCTAAAAGTAAAAGGGCCAATGTTAGCTCGGGCCAAAAATTTTGGACACAATATTGAGTTAGAAGATTGGGAAAAAAATGTGGAACAAAAATTATACTTTAACAAAATCCACCACACATAAAGAAAACCAATACAAGATGTTTTACCGTTGGCATTTAGCCCCAACAAGGCTTGCAAAGATGTAACCCAATCTAAACCCTAACTGTTGGAAAAGCAAACAAGCACAAGGTACTTTTTTCCATGTCTGGGTGGCTAGGCCCAGAAATTTTAAAATATTGGATTAAAATACAAAAATGCCTAAACGTAATCACCCATTGTCAAATAGAGTTGAAGCCTGAATTATTTCTCCTGGGAATCATTAAGGGTAAATACCCCAAAAAGATTAAATATTTAACTATACCTATTATTACGGCAGCAAGAATTGCACTAGCACAAGCTTGGAAAATGTCTAACATACCATCAGATTGTTTAATAATCCGAAAATTTTTTGAATATGCAGAAGTGGATAGACTCACCATAGATCTGAATAACAAGGAAGACTCGGAGTATTATGCAACTTGGAACAATTGGTATCAATGGATAGACAGTAGAAAAATGAAAGGTATAGGTTAAAAATAAGCTTTAAAATGTACTGTCAGAGAACGATGGAAAATTGTACCAACTTATTTTCTTTTTATAGATCTATTCATATTTTAATATTTTAATTTCAATTGTTGAGAGATTATTATCTCGAAGGAATCTGGTAGCCTCTTTTAAAGACTAATAGATTTTATCCAATGAGATCAACTTTGGGGGCCATCAGATGTACGGAATGACTGAAGTGAGGTGTGATTCCCCCAAAGTTGCTGCCTTTTAATAAATTGTGTGTGCCTGAAAAAGTGCTATGGATCGTCTCCTGATTTTGGGCTATTGTAGACTAACACAGCTGGCTTCCTCCAATTATCCAGAAGGAGGGAGTGATCCAATTTAATTTCCTTAATGTCGATGTGGCAGGCACAGAAAGCACAATTTGCAATGTGTGTTTGAGAGATGGAATTAATGTGGACCTGCTGTCGTGGGCTGAAAAATGTGGCGTTTGTGGGTTTTGTTTTTGCTCTGCCTGGTAAATTATAACCTTGCGGAAAAAAGCAATCTAATTAAAAAACAAACAAACCTTGGCAAAAACAGGCTAATTTAGCAAAAGGCATTTGTTTTGTGTTAGGTAAATGGCCTCGGTTTGGAATGGTACAACTCTATATTTGATCAATTTTATATCTAGCATTAGATTTTTTTTTTCTTGCATGAATGGGGCTCGCTTTATTGTTTCAAAAAATAAATTCATAATAATAAATAATACAACATTTTGCACTGTGCATCCTTGTATCAGTAGAAGGCCCTTATCACATGTGGAGCATAAACAAAAATGAAATGGTAGCTTGCCAATAGATAAAACGCCTTATGTAGATTTTCTCAAGCAGATGATAATCCATGAAATGATTCAAAGACCTCAATAATACAGATAGATATAGAGAAGTGATAAAGATGAGAGAGAAAGATGATATAATAGAGAGAGAGAGAGAGATCTGCTAAAATGTGCATTAATGCATACAGTATTAAAATATTTAACAGTTGTCCCTATACCACACCCAAAGGGAAGTCTGAATCAAAATCCTCTTGCGAGCTGAGTTTGGAGTTATAACTGGAAGAAATTCACTGGGGGGCGGGGAATGAGAAATCTAGGGCAGAAAGAAGAAAGAAAAAAGCAACCAAAGAAGCAGGAAATATTCTTCATTTATACCACTGTCAAGATGGAAAGCTGAGGCATTGTTTTGATTATATACACCAAGCCCTGTATGTTGAATAAGGTGCCATTCTGGAAGGGAGAGAAAGAAGCTGCTTTTGGAAAGTAGGAACTGAAAAGGTCTTATACGTGACCTCAGCTCTTTCGTGCCTCAAAAGATTCTGGAGAAAACTGGCCCAGACCAATCTGAAATTCCAAAGAATTTGAGTTGGTGGACTGATGGGAATTTATCTTCATCTCAAGCAACTTCCTTTGTTCCTTGGAGGACGTTGGCACGAGCAAATAAGTTATTCAGATTCAGAATAGAGCCTGGAAAGGGACCTTGGAGGTCTTCTAGTCCAGCCCCCTGCTCAATCAAGCAAACTTGTTCTTTTCCAGACAAGTGATTGTCCAGTCTTTTAAAAGAAAAAACTTCCAGTGATGAAGGATGCACAACTTCTGTTCCACCAGTTAATTGTTCTCACTGTTTGGAATTCCAGGTTGCTTCTCTCCTTGGTTAGTTTCAAGGAGAGACTAATTATAATTACAATAATTGAAGACTTGGAAGTTATGACTGAAGATTTGACTGCTGGCATTTCTGAAACTTGGCTTTTGTTGAGGTTTTGCCATTTTTTGTTAAATGGCAGGACGCTGCACAGTCTTAGAAGCATTTGGTTGTTTCCAGGAGTTGAAACAAACTTAACAGCTATTATTAAGTCCTTTCATCAGGTGCTAAGAAATATTTGCATCCCAGTTTGGCGAAGGAAAGAGGATTCTCAAATCTCAAGGATCAAATGGAAGTATTAATCTTCGGATTAATATCATCCTAAATATTACATTGTTTTAGCCTTTAAGATTACTATTTTTATTCCACCCTTCTGATGCTGGTCTATGACCATAGTAGATTTGATTTTTTGAATTTGAGCCTACATTCGGCTATGCTTATTGGGCTTCTAATAGCACATTCTGTCTGGTCCACAATAATTTAAGAAGCAAAAGACAGTTTTATTAGACACTTCCATGCATTTTGTGTATAGCAGTGTTAAGCTTTCTCAGCCAAGCCAGACTACAAAAGAATTGTTTCAGGCGAATGGAATTTTCAAAGACTTTAAGGAGCTCAAGTTTTTAATTCAAAAATCTGTGTTAGGAAAATTTGAAGCAGCTCTTTCTCAGTAACTAATGCTTAAACTATAAATATAAAAATAGCCACATATTCATTTGGATAAAGTTGAACACCTAATACTGGCTAAGATGGAAGGGGGGAAAAGAAATAACCATTATTTAAAACTGCTTTAAAAATAAATGTATTTAACTTATCCTTAATGTTATATGCTACCGATAACTGACCCATATATTCTTCAAAGACAACCCTTTTAAGGGACTAAATAATCTATTTTCTTAAATAGAATTTTAACTTAAAAGTATCTTCAGGGAGTCGTGAATATTAAACATTGTCTTTGACATAAAATGCTTTTTCATATTTGTCTTGTTTTTTCATACCTTTATTTCTTTACCCGTTGGATGGAACTGAGCGTTTACCGGCCAGATGTAAACACTCAGCTCCATCAAGTGGGTAGAGAAATTCAAATATGATATTTCAAAAAAATACAAATTACCGGATTACAGTGTTATAAAAAGGCAGAATTTCTATACCCAGCCAGTTTACCTGTTGAGTTTATTTGAAAACTCTCTGTTCACTGCAATTACTTTATCGATTGGACTTCCTAACCAACATATTGTTGCTGAAATTTAAAGGTTAGCCATTTCAACGTCCAAAGCCAGTCCCTAAACATTTGCAAGAACTGTAAACTCTGGTTTTTTTTCAAGACAATAGGCAAAAGGGAAGAGAGAAACCCTGAACCACACACTACCCCGATGCAAACCCTGTGATTATTTAAATTAAAAGGTACCTCTAAGCTCTTGCGAACATCTTCCCATCACCCAAACCACACAAAGAAGGCAAAACCAGAAATCCTGCTCACCTTTCAAGAAGAAGAAAAGCAATGCCATCAGCATGCCAGCCCGCCTCGCCATGGCGTTCTGAATTTGCCACCTTCTAGAAATGAAGTCGGTGGGTGGCATTTTACCCGCCGGGGGACTTTAAAGAGGGAAGGAAGGCTGAACTCGGAGGGAGGCACTCATTAGAAACGGGCAAGCATCAGCAGTGGGAACAAGGTTAGCCAGCTCCTTTTCTGTTTCTCTCTAACAGCCCTGCCCCTTTGCTCACAGCCCCAGCGATGGATGGGCGCTGGTTATCCACATGGCTGCATGGTCAGAAAAGGAGAGGCTTATACCTGTACGGCAGAAGCTGGGTTGCAGGGCAGGATTAAACCCATCCTCAGAATTCTATGCCAAAGTTTCCCCTCTTCTTCTTTCCATCCTCTCCACCTCCCTCCCCTCAAAAAAAACAGGTCTGATGAAATGAAAACAGCGTAATGGGATTGTGGTTGCCGAGCTGGCTTGCCTTCAAATAAGATTTTTGGAGCAGATGTGGCTGGCAAAAGCCTGTTAATGAATTAGCTTGGACCCATGATGATGATGATGATGATGATGAGTTATGGCTGGAACTTGGCGCTTGGACCAGCCTGTCCAGCCCGGGAGCCAAACAGCCCCCATGGGAGTCAGCCATTCCCATAAGTTGCTTTGTGGGCATCATTAATGGCTGGGGACTTGTGTGGGTAGGTGTGCGGAAAACAGAGAAGTCAATCCCCAATTTTCTCTTTGGTGAGATTGGACAGCCCTTTGTCTGAAATGGTGCAAGGGGTTGGACTAGAAGGCCTCCAAGGTCCCTTACAACTCTGTTATTCTGTTAATTGCAATCCCCACCCCACCCTGGAATGTCCGGGAATAGGTGATTCTATGGATCAGGTCTCTCCACATCTTTCTATGCTCCGCCTGTCCGGTGTCCGTTGTGATGGTATCTGGCCGGCGTGTTCTTTGGCCTCCGGGTTTCCTTTTACCGCTTATTCTTCCAAATAGAATTGCTTTCTCCAGTGAATTTACACACACACACACACACACACACACACACACACCACCACCACCACCACCAAAACAAATGAAACACAGTTTGGTGATTTTGACCACAGTAATACGTGTACCCTATGGTCCTGTCCAACTAATCGATCAAATACATAGGATAAGAAACGTGGACTTAGTTTACCTTTACGCGTTCCTTGTTCCATTTATTTTATTTTATTTTTTGAAGTGTGGGTCCTTCTAGGTCAGCCAAATTGTAGCGTGGTCTTTGGCCTTTTAAAAAATGGTGACCCTCTTTTCTGAATGACCATCTCCAGCATTTCTTAGTTAACCTGGCTTAAAAGGCCGATCAATCTCTTTCTGTTTCTGACATTTAAACACAAATCCAACCATTAACGAGGAGTTTGACGGACTGTAGTTCTAGATGTAGGAAAGATGCTGTGCTCCTTTGTGCGTTGTGGGATGGACCGAAAAGAGTTGGGTTGATTTTGGAGAATGAGAGTTGGGATTTGCAGAATGTGCTTTACTTCTAACCTCATCTTTTTTTTTTTTAGCAAATGAGTATTTTTGTCTAACTGTGCCAACCAGGCAGGTGAAATCTTCCATCGCCACCCATATTTTTCAAAAACGGCATGTCTCCCATTATTGTAGTTATTGATTTTCTCTTCTTGCTTTGCAGATGTTGGTAATTGATTTATCTGGAGGAAAATTCATGAACTCACGGTGCTTTTTATGTATTTGTTTCTTGAGGGCCTCATATCCCATGGCTTTAGCTCCTACAAATCAGAGCTCAGCATCTGCTTTTAGGAAAAGGTACGGAGAGAACTTATCACAGATTTAAGTCACCTCGTGGTAGACCTTGAGCTAGAAGGGAATGTAAAATGTGTGATTTGATTCTCCTGCTACGCTAAGCCACAAGATACCTTACTAGTGCCTTAGAACCTACCTATTGTGGTTTATAAGTCATGGTGTTTAGATGATGGGTGTGATACAGCTTCGTCAAGCCACGAGTAAAAAATGCTTTTGGTTTAAGACAATACATAAGTCAAGCCTGAACGTGGAGGGACCTGATTTACAGATAGTCCTCAACTTATGGCTATGGTTGGGATCAGAACTTCAGTCACTGAAGCTAGCTGGGAAGGTTGCAAATGCTGGGCACATGATCCTGGGGCACGCAGCAATCGTCATAAATACATATTGTTTGCCAATCACCCATATTTCGATCACTCAGGGGACATTGTGTTGGTTGTAAGTACAAAGATCAGTCATGTCACTTTTTTCCAGTGCTGTCCTTATGTTGAACAGTCACTAAACGAGTGGTCTTAAGTCAAGGACTTCTCACTGAGTTCATATACTGTATTGCAAAGTGTTTGATATATTGGCCAACAAAGTAAATATTAGAAATGCCACTGAGATAGTGCTAATTTCCAGGCCTTCCTTATTCTGGAGCAACTAATTTTGCACCCTTTAATTGCTTTTACACTTGCCAGCCTGTAGCCTGATTCGTTTAATGACCCCATAATCCCTTGCAGGGTGGAGTCAGAGCAACTGTTTACTGGCCGGATGCCCTTCCCGTTGCCGATGAGGAGTTTTGTCCAGTAGATAACATTCTCATTGTGCCCAGAGAGAGAAATATCTGCTTCTGCTTAGGATCAAACTCACAACCTCCTGATTGTAAGGTGAGAGTTCCACCTCTAGGCCACGGCACCATTCCCCAATCTTGAATATGTGGTACTACTTAAACCTTGGGGAAGGAGGAAGTATGTATCTGTAGCACGAAAGCACGTACCAGTTTTCGAAAGGGAAAGGGGGAAAAAAATGGAATGTCAGAAAGCGACACGACCACAACAAAACCTCTCCCACACAAAGTACTTAAATAAAATACTCTTTTAATACACAATCTTGGGCATTTAATGCCATACCATTACACGTTACCTCCTTCCATGGCTACAACTGACCCCAGCAAAACCTGTTAATGTGGTTTCAAACATTTCAGAAGTACATCCATCCTCACAGTCACGTTGTCCCCCCCGGGCTTCGTTTCCCTGCATGAATGCTTTAGCCCAAACTCTTCGGTCCTTACTCTGAACATGCATAGAATAAGAGCGTGTGAACACATCTGCAGCTCTCTCCCATAATGCTCGATCATGGTTTAGTGTTACTAGGATGAGCTACTGTAGGTTTAATCTTTCTGACCTTCACCTTTGCAATATCTGCAGACAACAAAGCCCAGGCTGCCGATCTCATCTCTTTTAAGGAAGAACCTCATAAAACTTTTTATATCTCCTTAATCTCAAGAGACAGCCTTATTATAACCCTCTGAAATCTCAGGGGATGGATTCCCATCATTTGCCTAGACTCTCAATTTTTCAGGAGAACTTAAAATGGTCTTCAGAAAAGGACCCCTTTCAAAACCAGAGAAACAAGTGGAATTGCCAAAACATCAGTTTGGTTGTCTGCATCTTTGTTTGTGGGAGCAGCAGCGAAAGAGGGAAAAAAAATCTATTTTAGATGGTTACTTCAGATCTTTGATGTGCAAGATTCTTGGTTCTGCAAAAAGAAGGACTTTCCTTCAAGTTTTTCAGGGTCTTCTGGAATGAGTGGAGGTTGGGGGGCTGACCCTCTTTAGATGTCTGGATCAGATCATACCAGGATCCTACAGTAAGGAAAATCATCTTGCCTAAAAATAATTCTTTTCCTTGTTTTTCCCCCTTTGAAGTTGTTCACAAAACTAAATTAAAACCAGGGTTGTGTCCCTTGCACAACCTACATTTTGGCCAGCCCATCACAACTCCCTGCAGAATCACAAGAACCCTGCAGAACCAGCTGAAGAAGAGTGCTTTCATAAAATAAAAATTTAACAGTGATACAATTTTTCCCCCTGGAAAAGCCAAACCAAAACAGTTAATTGAAGAGTTCCAGCTTAAAAGGAATAATAAAAGTCCTTTCAAACTACTCTTGTGTAGAAGGTCTTCTCATGTTGCACGGATTATTCATTTTTTAACTGGGAAGGGGCAGTAAACAAACAAACAAACCAAGATCTGGATAAAGAATCTTGAAATTGAAATTGTGGAACTCGGAACTTCCCACCCTGTTGAACAAGCAGTCTTTGGCATTAGATTCAGCTCAGCTTACGGGCTCATGGCAGGCTGGTGGTTTTGAAAAAGGGGCTGCATGAATAATCCAGTGGTTCCCAGCACACAGATGAAGACAAATATCCAGAGGAAGAGCCTGTCCACCACCATGGCCACGTATTTCCAGTCTTCAATGACCTGGAAAAACAAAGCAATTAAATATCTTTAATAAACCGTCCATTGCGACACAATCCCTCCCTCCCAGCCCAGCTTGTGTTTTTTTTCAATAGTCTCCCGTGTCTTTCTCTTTGCAATTCAAGAATCACACACACCCAATAATGAACTGGGAAGATGAAGGCTTAAAAAATGGGCAGAAACAAATGCTTCAAATACACACACACACACACACACACACACACACACGCACGGAGGATGGGGCAGAGAGAATAGAAAAAAGAAGAAAAACCCACCGTAGCTCCCACAACCCCTCAAAATAATAATAATAATAATAATAATAATAATAATAATAATAATGAGGAGGAGGAGGAGGAGGAGGAGGAGGAGGAGGAGGAGGAGGAGGAGGAGGAGGACTGAGCTTGGTAATTGTGGAATTTTGTGTTTTAGTTAAAAAAAAGCTGAAACCCTGAATTCTTGGCATTTTCTTCCTGCAGAAATGTTTGTCAACCTTTTACAGTGAGAAGCTACCTTAAAAAAAATTAAGTTGACGAGATAATAATGCAGCTGTTCTTACTAGAGAACTGGGCTTGTCGGGTTTTTTTCCCCCCAATGGTTGTTAATTAGGAGTAATTAAAAACTAAGGAGAAATTTCCTAACAGTGAGGACAATTAACCAGTGGGAGGGCTTGCCTCCAGAAATTGCGGGTGTTCCTTCACTGGAGGCTGTTAAGAAGAAACTGGGTGGCCACTTGCCTGAAATGGTATATATATATATAGGGTCTCCTGCTTTAGCAGGGGGTTGGGCTAGAAGACCTCCAAGGTCCCTTCCAAACCTGTTATTCTACGTTCCAAGAGTAAGCCACCCCTGCCTCCCAAGTGGGTATGTTTGACAAGTATTCAGAAGAGTTGATTTACTACCACATTTTGTCAGAGATGCCCCTTGAATTCATCTCCGTGGTAGCTGATCGGTCCAACAAGCAACCCAATACTCATCCCTCAAGACGAGCGAACATGTCCTTACTTTCCGTCTGTGCAAGAGAACAAACATCTCAAGCTCCAGGGAAAGGAAATTCTAGGACTTTTGGAGGTGGAGGAATGCTTTGTGTCACTTACACTCTCGTTGTTGTCCTCGCTCCTCATGTGGTCCGCTATGAAGCTGACTCCCTCAATTGCTTCTTGGACATCGGGAGAAAACTTCACGGAGGACCGTAACCTCAGGTCTTGATGGCTGTGGACATGGTCGGGGTTGTCTGTGAGCTTCACGTTGTATCTTTGGCCTGCTGCTGTGTTCACAAAGTAAGTACAATCCCTGTATGTGCTGGAGAGATCCGAAGGCGAGGACTCCACTTTGTTCTTCTTGCGGTTGGTCAACCGTTGGCTCGCCGACTGGTTGTGTGGCCTCCTCATGAAGAGGAAGCTTGGCAGCCTCTGAAGGAAGACCACCTTAACCCAGGGAGGCATTGCATGAGTGCTGGGAGACCTGTGGTGGACATTCAGCACACAGACACTGGTCACAATCGAGAAGGTCACCAACACCATGGTGAACATCAGGTACTTCCCAATCAGTGGAACATCCAGAGAAGTTGGAGGGACGATTTTGGAAATCAGGAGCAGGAAAACGGTCAAAGCCAGCAGGACGGAGATGCACAAGGTTATCTTCTCTCCACAATCCGAGGGCAGGTAGAATACCAAGATGGCCAAGGACGTGATCAAGACACAAGGTATGATGAGGTTGATGGTATAAAACAGGGGCTTCCTTTTGATGATGAAGTCATATGTCACGTCCACATAGTTTGGATCTAAAGGGTTTTCAGTTCTTCGCCCTGGGAGGGCCACAATGTCCCACTCCCCACTGGGAGTGAAGTCATCCGTGCTGGCCGAGTCTGTTTTCAAAATCATATCAATTTCAGAGTGGTCATAAGTCCAAGAGCGGAATTTGAGGGTGCAGTTCTGTTGGTCGAAGGGAAAATGCTTCACTTCAATCTTGCAGGCACTTTTGTAAATGGCTGGCGGCATCCACAACATGCTTCCATTGTGCTGAACAATCACATTTGTGTAGACAGAGACTTCGTAGGTACCGTCGGCGCTAACGAAACCCAAAAGCAAAAGCATAAAAAAGAAAAATAACTATTTTTAGTTATTTGTTTAACAAGAAGATGGGCTGCCACAATCCACATTGACTCGACGCCACGGAATATATATATATATCAAGGCTCTCCAAACTTGGCAACTTTAAGACTTGTGGACTTCAACTCCCAGAATTCCCTAAGCCAGCCATCCTCAGCCAGGCTGGGGACTTCTGGGAGATGAAATCCACAAGTCTTAAAAGTTGCCAAATTTGGAGAGCCCCAGAGTATATCATGGATGTTAATGCGAGTTTACAGCTAGTATCAACCTTTTAATGCTATGAATGCCCTCCTGCGGGAAACATCCATTTATAATTAAGTAACTAAAGCAATTTAGGGCTGAACACTTTCTCCCAGACCAACAATTCTTCAATCGACAAAGTGTATTCCATTAGGAAGCAAAAAAAAAATACCTAGTTTGGTCCTAAAAATGGTTGCCTTGAATGTTGATTGCAAACAGCATCCTCTTTAAATTTTACTCTCTCGTAGCGTCAAGGAGGAGAGGCACCCCATGCACAATCTTATGTAGCAATTCTGACTTACTTATTGTACAGCACAATGTCTGGGAGCCACACTTTCTTAGCCGGTATCCTTAGTTTGTTGATGCCTTCATATTCTGATGGTTCCCAGGCCAAGCGATAGTCGGTCCATTCCTTAAAAGCAGCGCATAACAACATGTTCAAGGACTGCCCCTGCTTTGCACAAAATTCAGAAAGGATCTGGTTGCACCTGCTGACAAGTTCGGGAAAGACTTTCAGCTTTCGGGAAGCGCAGCCCCCTTCTCTCAAACACTGCATGCAGCATGACTGATGTGGGGTTTAAGACAGGGTTAAATGCCTCACCCTCCTGTTGTTAAATTCCATATCAACTTGAGGAATTTCATGGATGGATTGAGTCACAGCGCTTCACGAAAGCTGAAGCCTTCCATTAAATTGTCAGGTTTAAAAGGTGCTATCAAAGGCCTTCTTTCTAAATTATTACAGCTTTTCCTAGCGGAGGCACAAATTGCCAACCATTTGAGGATGAGTTGTTGTTTTGGGGTTTTTTTGTGGTTGATGCTGCTGGTTTGTTTTAATCATACCTACAGTGCAAAACATAAAGTTATGTTTGGCAAAAGCTGACTCTTGATTAAAACAATGAATTCGATACACGGCTGCAGAACTTCCCAGCTCACATCTAGTATTCTCACGTGGGATTGTCCGCTCCCAGAGAAGGGGGGAAAAAAGGGTCTACCACCATTTCCAGTTTGGAAGGTCTGTGGCATCCACTGAAACACCTGAGAGCAAACATTTCAGGTCTGCTGTAGAAGTTCAAATGAATAGCAGCCAGAAGGCACACAGTTCAAAGTTCTAAGCAATCTTGGAGATACTCATGGACATTTACCTGGTTGAGCCAGACATTGGTGGTCATGATTTGTTCCCGTTCATTCTGAAGAAGAAAAGAGACAGAGATCACAATGTCAGTCCTGGGTCCTGAAGGCTGAAGCTTTAATTCTAGGGGATTTGGTAGAGCAGAGCAGGAAATGAAACGTAAATTTAAAAAGATTTATCCAATGCTGGAAGAGGGAGTTATCGTGGAGTCAGGATTTCTCCACTTTGGCAATGTTAAAATGTGTGGACATCAACTCCCAGAATTCCCCAGCTAGGGAATTCTGGGAGTTGACATCCACACATTTCAAAGTTGCTAAGGTTAGAAACACTATTCTAGACTTACAGTTTGGGAGACATGCAGTAGTGTCTCATTTTACCCCACAAGGCATGTGTAGGCACACCACACTAAAGCTCTTTTACAGCTATATTTAAGTATGCAGAACTAAAAGTTGTGATGTGTATTCTCTGGAATTTAAAAGCAATACAGCAAATTGACAAACAGAGGAAAGTGGGGGGCTTAAGTGACCATTTTATTGACCATCCATCCTTTTGTTTGCATCCCTTCAGTTCCTTGAAATTGAATCCTTTTGTTGTTGTTTTACGATAGAAAAAAAATGTGTACACACACACACACACACACACACACACACACACACAGCTCTATGACTGTAATAAACTCCTGCTACTATGACTTTATAGTTTGAAAGCAGAGAGGGTTCTTCACACCCACCACATTGATAAGCTGGGACAGAATAACCCGCAATTCTATCACAACTAACTGTGAAGAGTTGAAGGCCGGGCGAATTAAGTTGTTGTAGCGTGAAGCGTTGAGGAGATGGTTCATTAACTTCTCTTCAGCGTCAGCCGTCTCACTTCCTGTAAAGTAGGAAAGAAAGAACTGGGTCACAGAAGGGAGGCAGAATCCTGTCCTTTGATAAACCCCCCATGGCAAGAGATGATGACCTTCAACCCATGAGAGTCCTACGGAAAGTTGGCCAACTCTTCGTTGGCCAAGGACGATAACTAACAGACAATGCAATGACTATTTCCTGAAGTAACTCAAAAATCTTCTTTCTTGCTTCTCCTTAGCATTAGAAACGTATTCCAGAACTCCAGGAGGCTCTTATTTCCTTTCCAGGTTGGCATCTAAACTCTGCAACTTAGTTATAGAATATCAGAGTTGGAAGGTACCTTGGAGGTCTTCTAGTCTAACCCCCTGCTCAGGCAGGAGACCTTATACCATTCTGGATGGCTGTCCAATCTCTTTTTGATGTACGTATTTTTTTCTGGTTTGGCCTTGATCTGTGGGCTAATGGCTCCATTCATCATATGAGCTCTTCTCATTGGGGTTAACAGACTGAGGGCAAACGATGGCTTGTGTCAGAAATACACCCGAAAGTTTAATTGAAAAGTTGGTTTGGAAATCTCTTTGAACCACTTTCCTTAGCCTCCTCTTCTCTTCCCCCCCTCTGTCCACTTAAAAGTGCTTCAAATTAATGAGCTCAGATCCTAAATGAGCAATGACCCATCCTATTCTAGTGTGTGGGTGGGGTAGCTTTGCCCTTATTTGCGATCCACTAGGTGTCAGCAGGTGGCCTGCACAAATCCATTTGTGAGGCTCAACGTGTTTGTGTGCAGAAAACCAATCCTTCTGTGTTTTCAAAAACTCATCCTTTCCCATCCATGTTAAGAATCATTGTTCCTAACCGAACTAAATACGGAACACACACGATGCATTCAACAGTCAGGTTCACAACTCTGTCATCCTTTTTACGTGTTATTCCTAAAGGTCAGTGTGCACGCAGTAAAAAATATGGTGATAAAATTATCTTATCTTACTGCTTTTTCCCCCCTCTTGTGTCCATGAAGAGATGTGACCAGTACAGTTTTTCATCTTGCCGATTAAATTATTTTACATTGGATCAAGAGTCCATGCTTCTCTGTGAAACCCCTGAAGAACGCAAGCGGTAGCTGGCTTAAAAGAGACAGAGAGAGAGGGAGGGAGGGAGAGAGGAAAAGAGAGAGGAAAAGAGAAGAGGGGGGGGGGAGAGAGAGGGGAATGGAAGGAGAGGAATCCAATTATGAGTGATTTAGTAAACCACCCGCTGAACGATATGGGCAACTTATGTGCTGTGACTCCAACAGCTGGTTTGTTTTCTGCAGCAGTCCCACAGCCAACATGCTTCTCTAATAATTCAAGCGGGGTGTCATGCGTCACGCGTCAGGGAGAGCACTTTAAAGCGAGCACCACTTTGGAAATGGGATTGATTTCTTTGCAGGGAAGCTGGCAAACGAACTTGCAGAGCTTTGCAATACTCGCTCAGCTCGAAAGGAGCCCATTCTTCTCTGTCCTCCAGGACTGGCGAATGCCAGGTTCCTGCAGATAATCAGATGGATTGCATCACTCTTCCTCAAGCCGGAAGCCATCGGGATGGTCTGGGAGCACAAACCCCATCATCCCCAGGCAGCAGGGCACCACGTCAGCTGGAAGGGATGGGAACTGTAGTCCAAACATATCTGGAAACCTCCCAGGGCGAGCAGGCATGGCCTCTCTCTCTCTCTCTCTGCCTAGAAGCTCCCAAAGTTGTACAAACGCTTTGCGCCGATTCTGCATTCTGTCCCCAAAAAAATCTATCTTGAAATTTCCGTAGAGTTGCACAGTTGGGGGGACTGAAACGTTCGGTTTAATTTTGGACATTTTTGGATTCTTTCCAGTCCCCGACTTTCTTTCCCCTTCTGGGTAGCTTCTCTCTGAAACACCGTTTTGGAGACACCCTGCACACCCATTGGGATTTTTTTTTTTCAGCTACTCCTAATAAAAACATTTGCCTACTTACAGATTTTGGGATTTTGCCTTGAAGAACTGACATAGTAACGGCTGTCTCTTCTGTTCCCACCCCATCTCAGAAGCCCGTGTATCATTTCAGTTTTTCTAACCCCAGTAAGTGAAAGGAAGAAAGGTTGAAAATATTGCGGGCGCAGCTTCCTCCTCTGTGATTGAATGCGAACAGTCCCGACTTCTCGATATCCTCTGGAATATGTGACTTGCTCCTGACATCAAAGAAAATTCTACACTCTAGGGCACTTTAGACCTACAACCAAAAATGCAGCATTGGAAAGGAGTAAGTTCTAAAAGGGAAAACCATCCTGAGAATCCTGCCTTAACATAACCAGAGAGAGAGAGAAAGGGAAAAAACAAACCAACTTTAAACTCAAAGGTGGAGGTCCCATTTTTAAATCTGGCCTCTGACCTTGTTCCTTCCACTTGAAATGCTTCTCGTGCATCTCCAAAAATGGCCAGGGGTGTAAGAAACCTTGGAAAATGGGATTAACCACAGTAGAAAGAGTTCTTGTGAAACAGACGCGGTGGACTTAACCGAGCACCCTTCCATTTCAAGCCCATTTGGAATGATTTCAGATAACAGTTATGAAATCTCATTCCCCAACTAATCAGTCTTTATTTGCCGGATGTGCTGCCAATTAGTGCCAGGCTAAGCAATGTCTATGATGGTACCAGCAGGAGATATATAGAGAAGGAAGAGCGTTTTTATGCCTCGGTCTCTCTTCACGTGCCCGCCGGCCTTTCTAAACCACTTTTTAAAGCATCCGTGGAAAGTCCAAAGAAAGGGCAAACCAGAATTTCCTCCCAGTAAACCCTCCAAGCGGACAAAACCCAAAGAGTTACCTTGCAACAGTAAGCATCCCATCCTGGATCTATTCTCTGCTCTCCTTGATCAAAGGAAGCATCTGCATCAAGAACCAGTTATGCCTGCTCAAGGATTGACAGCACATCGATCTTGCTTGAAACCCCAAAAGATGCCCCCACAACACAGACTTCCTTCAACTTTCACACCTTGCTAAAACACTGTGGTCCCCGTTCTCTCCCCCCCCCCTCTCACACACACACACACACACACTTTTCTCAAGGAATAATTTTCCTAGCAAGACTTTTCATTTCTTTTCTTTTTGAATGAGGCTGAGGAGGATATGCTTTTTTCTGGCTAAAAGTCTGCTTCCCAGCTGCAAACCGAAGGAGAAAGGCTACTCACCATTCATAGAAAAGGAAAGCACAGCAAAGACAAAAAATGGGTTGGTATTCCTCATGGCAGTGAGCAAACCCCCCACCCCACCCCCAGAGTTAAAACCCTGTTGATTCCAAAACACCACAATTGTGTGCAGAAGAAGGAGAAGAAGAAGAAGGAGAAGAAGAAGAGAACAGGAGTTGCGAGGGCAGGACAGGCGTGGAGGAATCAAAGCGAAACAGAGCTGGGAAGCAGCTGGGAGCCGCAAGAGGTTTCTGTGTAGGACCCAGCAGGTCTTCCAAGAAGGGGGCGGTGCTTCCTCTGGAGGCCCCTCCCCCTTTGCAGCTGTTTAAAGACGAGGCAATGGAGAAGGAGTAACAGATGAACAGAGTTGGAACCTTATACACACCAGTCTGGAATCAATTCAGGATCCAAGGAACTCTCTTTAGAGGGGCACCTAGCAAGATTTCCCAGGGACTCACAGGCTGTCTTCTAAAAGTGGCTGCGCTAGAGATGCAATACAGATTTTGCAATACTGATAGAGCGGGGCGCAGGGAATGCAATACACATTTTGCAATTCAGATGGAGGAGGGAAGGATGGCAGGGCAGCTTGTTCGATGAGCGAAGCCCGAGAGAGAACTTCACTGGAAAAGCATCGGCTGAAGTGTCAGTCAGTCAAGCGTTTACTGTCAACGCACAACATGTGTACAATGAATCAGAGTTCTGCTGGTTATCTATCCTTGAATCCACAAATAGAACAGTGGCCAGGAGGACAGAAGAGGTCCGTCTTATGTTGGCCATGAAGGAAGAGGAGTCAAGAATTTGCCGTTCAGGAGGAGATCCCAGGTTTATCTCTACTTTTGTTTGAAGCCTTCCCAAAACTGCCTGATGGAACTCCTGATGGCTTCCCCTCTGATGTTCCTTGGTGTGCACCTTCCACAGTTCTTCAGTAGCAACTGAAAATTTCTCAGACTTGTAGTCCCTGTGGGAGAGGCCGTGTTGAGTAAGGAAGATCCTTTCTCACTGCTTTGTTTCCTGAGTAAACCCAACAAAGGTGGAAAAAGTGCCCCTATTGTGACTAAAAACGGGAAATAGTGGGCCCAACCAGGCCTTCATAGTAACACTGGAGTTGTTCAGTTGGGTCAAAGGAAAAGAAATTCAAATCTAGGGTTGGTTTCTCTCTTCAGGGGCCACCCCTGAGAAGCTCCTGAGAAACTCATGGTCCAGATTAAAAAGACTCCATTGATTTTGGCTCTCAGGAACAAGATGAGTCAAATCTCCAACTTTTAAGCTTGTGGTTGGTGATTGACTCTCTTCTGGCAATTCCAAATATACTTCCCTGGGAATAAAGTCCCTTGGATCACACAACCTTAGCAACATGAAGGTGGGTGGACTTCAACTCCCAGAGTTCCCCAGCCCCAAAAGAGAGAGAGAAAAAGTTGGGCCAAAACAGCAACCTCCTGCCCCTTAACCAGGTAAACTGGTTAGACTCATTTAGCTCAAACTGAGAAAGCCAACTCAGAAAGCTCAAACTGCCCAGGGAGCTGCTGATCCAGTTCTACAGAGGAATGATTGAGTCTGTCATCTGCAACTCTATAACTGTCTGGTTTGGTTCTGCAACCCAACAGGACAGACACGGACTCCAGAGAGTAATTAGGACTGCAGAAAAAATAATTACTACCAACCTGCTCTCAATCGAGGACCTGTATACTGCACGAGTCAAAAAGAAGGCTGTGAAAATATCTGCAGACCCCTCACATCCCAGGTATAAACTGTTTCAACTCCTTCCCTCAAAACGACGCTATAGAGCCCAGCACACCAGAACAACTAGACGCAAGGACAATTTTTTCCCAAATGCCATCACTCTGCTAAACAAATAATTCCCTCAACACTGTCCAACAATTTACTCAGTCTGCACTACTCTTACTATTAATCTTCTCATCACTCCTTATCGCCCATCCCTTCCCACTTGTGACTGCATGATTGTAACTTTGTCTCTTGTATCCTTAGGATTTATATTGACTGTTTCCTAGTATGATTTGATTGCTTATTTGTACCCTATAACTAATGTATGTTTTCTTTTATGTGCACTGAGAGCATTTGCACCAAGACAAATTCCTTGTGTATCCAATCACACTTGGCCAATAAACCTACTCTATTCTGTTCTATTCTATTCTATTCTATTCTATTCTATTCTATTCTATTCTATT